AATCGTATACAGAGCGCGACACTCCGCTTTAGTCTTCATTTGTTCTACGGACAGCGCGATACTGCGATGACATAACAATTTAAATTTCTAATAGGTTGACTTGGGACATTTTTTTCGTGGTTTTTGTATTAGACCCGTCGTCCATTTATTTGTAAGTCAATGGCTGTAGAATACAGTTTGTTTCATCTGACTGTCACTTGTTTTTGCACTGTGCGTCATGTTAGAACTTGGTTGCCTACATCACCATGGATTTAACTCGTGAAAATTTTCGTAGTATGATTTTCTACGACTTTAAGTGTAATTTAACAGATCAGCGAGCTCGGCTTCAAACTGCTTTTGGCGATGAATCGTGCAAGACGACTATTTATAGTTGGTTTGCAGAATTCAAACGCGGTCGTGTGAATCTCAGTGACGAATTTCGTGATGGTCGCCCGTTCACTGCTGTGAACAACAAAAACATCGATGCTGTGCGCCGTATGATCAAAACAGACAGGCATGTGACATACCATGATATTTGGGCATCTTTAGGCATAGGCAGGAGTCAAATACAATCAATATTACACAAACATTTGAGTGTGAAAAAGCTGTGCTCTCGGTGGATCCCACACAATTTGACCGAGGCTCAAAAAAAAGGGATCGCGTCACTTGGTGCAACGCCATGCTTACCAGATTCAACACATATGGGACATGATAACAGGTGACGAAACATGGATTTATAGTTACGATCCCAAAGCAGCAATCGAGCGTATGGGTCTTTCGAGATATATTCACCTAGAGATGAGCCGAAACCAACCAAAGTGGTGCGCGTGCAAAGTGCCTCTAAGCGGATGATTGCTTCTTTTTTTAATAAGACTGGACACGTGGCTACTGTTGCTTTGGATCGTTGTACCGTGAACAGTGATTGGTACACGACCATTTGTTTGCCCGAAGTTATTGACAAACTCCGTAAAAATAACCGTAAAGCCGTATAACACACGTATGCACCACGATAGTGCCACGGTCAGACAGACAAATGAATTTTTGAAGGTGAACTACGTTGACTTATGAGCCAACCCTTTTATTTATTTCCAAAAATTAAGAACCAGTTACGCGGTCAACGATTATCATCACCTAAAGATGTTGTCGAAGAGTATGAAAAATATGTTTCAGAGATTGTCACAGAGGAGTGGCATAAATGTTTTCAAAATTGGTTCATTCGTATGAAAAAGTGCATTAACGCTAACGAGGAATATTTTGAGAAACAATAAATTCATTTCTGACCATTTATAGTATTTTTTCCTTATTCATTTCGAAAAATTATAGTGCGCCAAACGTATATAAAAATCTAAAATTTGTTTTTAATGTAGTACCTACAAGCCTTTATGCTTACCACGATCAAACTATGGCACTCTACAAACAAACCGGGCGACTTTATCAGATTGGCCGCGGGCATCAGCTGGTGTAAGATAGGATAGAATTAGTACAATGAAACTATTGTTTTCGGATCTATAAATCACGTATTGCAGTAGTAACAGTAAAGTTCCTTGTGAAAGAGTTCGTCCAGGAAAGTTTATCTTAACTATTTATGCCTTCCAGCGGTGATGTGCGCATTAATGCGTTTAGGTTTTTTAAGGACTTTTCTTCAACTTATGTCAACAGGATGACGGGCGCAGAGGCAGTGTCGCGTTGCTCAAATCTTTGCGATTTAAAGCTCTGAGCGGCACTGCAACTGTTATGGACAGGTGTGACTCTTACCACCAGGCGCACAACTTGTTCGTTCCATCACTTTGTATCATAAAAAAATACTCATTTTTTTTTGCGTTTTTGGGTTTTTTACAGGTAATGGCTGACAGGTACGTTTTATCCATTTTACTGCTTGTTGTGATGTACACGTAAGTAAGATTAAAACGATGTAGCAAATAACGTTTTCCCAAACAAGAAACCCACCCCAAAGCGAACTAAATGGGATGATCCCCTATAATCTTCATTTGACCAAGCTAAAAGTAACTTAAATAATGAATAGGAGAGCGTAAAATGTGTTTTCACTCTAATAGGATGATCCTGGCACACGACACGATTTAGCGTTACGTAACAGTTGGTGGAACTATAGGAGTTCTGAAACCTTCTACAATTTCTATTTAGGTAGTATTGGGAAATGGGAAGTGAATTTTCATTAACTATCATTTATTTATTAACAAAATTTCATGAAAACCCTTGCATATCAGAGAAAAATCACTAAACACAATCATGTCAATTAATTTTATACTTCTAAAACATTGACTTACAATTACATATATGGACGTCGGGTCCGCGCTAAAAAGTGTCCGAACTTATAGGGCGTTAAAATCGTATACAGAGCGTCATTCACGCTTTAGTCTTCGTTTGTTCGACTGACAGCGAAGCAAGCAAAATTAGACAATACTGCCAAGACATTACAATTTAAATTCAACGTTTTAGCTTTTTCATATTCCTTTAGATGTCACTACGTTTAAACAGGTTGTCTTGGGACATTTTTTTCGTGGTTTTTGTATTAGACCCGTCGTCCATTTATTTGTAAGTCAATGTTCTAAAATCTAATTTTATACTTATAGTATAAAATTAAGAGTTAGAGTTTTAATAATTTTGCGATATGAAAAGAACCCACTACCCGAACGCAGTGTGCATTGATGTTTTTTAGGATTGAAAGGAATCGGCGTCAATACTCCAGTAATTTTATTTTTTCAACGGAACCAAAAAGTCATGCACCTGATGTAACCAACACTCTTACATAATTATAAGAGCTATGCCATAATATAGTTACGTTGGCGTTGCGACTACAACGTTGCGTTGTGTTACATATGCTGTGTGGCGTTTGGTTGGAGGTGGCGTATGGTGTATCGTTCGTTCGAAACGGCATGACTTCGCAAGCAATTTAGAGTGAGGCCACACGGTCGTTGCCGGTAGGTTGCGTTGTGAGTCGCAAAGTCGGTTTGTTTCCTCGTAATATTATTCAAATATTGAACTTTGACTAATATGCTGTTAATAGATGGCATTGTGTGTTAAAGCTAATTTATAAATTAATGTTTTCTGATATGGGTAGACGGCGATAATTCCAAACAAAATAAAAGAATAACCGTCAAAATAAATAAATAACAATCCCTAAAAATCTGTGCAATAAGCGCCATCTAATTAATTTGTTTGTTATCACTAGAAATTAAAGTAGCTTGATAAATTACAGCTTGTCAATGTAAAAAATTAGTAACAACACATCTCATCTCCACGCTGTCTTGTATAGCGATTAGCAGATCTCTGGAGTTATTCAATTAAAAAAAAAGAGTTGGTCAATGGTTAAAGATAATACAATTGATAACAAAAAACTAACGTCTGTGTAGGTGACGCCACAAAATGGATAATTTTGATTTATTTTGTATTTGTGGAATCTATAGCACTTCGAAAATTACGACTATGATGATGCTTCGGTAAACAATCAACACGTTCTTGTTATTTGAACGAAAATTCCAAGGCCATTGATTTTATTTTATTAACGTTCAGAATTAACCTTTCGTATAGGGTGTAGCGCAGCCTTGGGGAGGCTCGATACGTACAGGTATAGCCAATATCGACGTTAAAAGGGCGACAGAGAATTTGTACCCAAATCTACGACAGTTTTTGGAGCAATCAGTTTCAGAGGTGAAGGCGGTGCTTTAGAAAATGTCGTGTAGAGCAACGACTTTTCAGGTAGCACAAAAGCCCTCCGTAAAGTGTTGGGGATCTCTGAAAGGCTTTATTCGGATACACTCAAGAATTTACACAAATTTATATAGGGGATGAACGGCTTACGGAAGATATTAAGAGTGAATTTCCTAAATGCGGATTGAATTTTAAGACGGGATAATTTTGGTTTTGAAAACAAATCAAGTGATTGCATGTTTACTTGGCAGCCTAATGTGCAAAAAGGGCGTCTTTTTAAATGAAAGGTAGGCGATTCTAATACATGTGGCGGCATGTGCAGATTTTAATGTCTAGCTTACGTACATTTGTGAATGTTTAGTGCCTCTTGCGAACGGTGAACAAAAAGACCGTGAAGTCTGCAAGCAGACGGTTCACAGCTTTTGGTAAAACGTGTGAAGACCCACCAGCGTGGCAGAGTATAGTCTAAACTCTTTCCATAGACGAGATCCGTGCTCAATCGTACATTTACAAGTAGGTGTATTAAAGTCGAATGATTGAGTAAAATTCATTACATTCGTCAAGCAGAAGTGCCGTGTCGAAGTTTTATCAACAGCTTTAATTGGTTAGAGCAGCGGCAGTTTTGGGCGACGGATTTTGAATACCAAGGAAGAAGTTTTAAACGCAGCTCATTCTGAAAATGCTTCGTTAAAGTTACTCAGATTTTCATCCGGGTCAAATTGCAAATGCTTTAAAAACAACATCAGTTTCTAGCTAGATTAAAACTACCTAGATTAGTCGAGCGTGTATGAAGAGATTTATCGGAAAATGTAAAAGAAGTAAATCATAAATGGGCAAAGGCCCAAGTATAAGAATTGTAGTAAATATAATAATGTGCTAAACTAGCACACCAATTACTGGTCTCAATCTAGGCATTTGGCTGTACTATGAGTACCAGAGTAATGGAATTCACTTCGGGGCACTATCCAGAACAACCAGACCAGAATCAATTAGGATAAGTATAGTAAATAACACCCAAATTGGTCTTACCAGGAATTGGACCTATTGTCCACATTATAAACCGTTGGGTCACCGAGGTCGTTAACTGAGAACCACAAACGATTAGGACACAGAACGCGTAAAAACACATATCCATTGAAGCTCAAAACAATCGATCGATATTTAATCCAGTTCTCTCTTGAAAATTACGTTTTGTTAGCACAAAATGTTCTATTTTTCCAGGCCAGGACACAACTATAAGTATTGTGTTGCGGGTGGCATAATAAAAGATCGTCCAGTTCAAGACTCAATTAAATGTCGAGACAGGAAATGACATGCGCTATTGTTTAAGCTATTCCGGCTAATGCACTTACTTCTAACAGTGAGATTGACTCTGTCCATAAAGGCAGTCTCGTTTTCAACGCCGCACTCGTACAGACCACTGTCTTGCGCGCTTATGTTCTGCAAGAAGAGACTGCCGTCCGACTGAAACAAAAGAAACGCTTGGTTAGTACTTGAAACTTTGGATTGGCCAAAATATCGTTACGGTCAAAGTATATATAAAAAAACAAAAAAAATAACCAACAAACTTTAATCAATTATGTATCGGCTATGTTGATCTACGTTCTTTTTCTATTTTTCGGGTAATTTTAGTATTCTTCTTTTATAAAATTTCCTGCTTTAATTATAAATATAACTCAAGTGTCGTTTGATGATCTCTTCGTTATAAAAGTCGCGTCCATTTAAAGAATTTTATTACTGAGGATGATATATTATCCCTCGATAAGGTATTTTAGTCCCTGATGCAAAAAGAGGGGACCACAAGTATAGAGTCTTTGTCTTTGTGTCTTTGACAGTAGCTCCCAAATGGACGGACGATCACAAAGGGATTTTTTTGGTGCAGGAATCTCAATCATAGCATGAATATTTATTTATAGAATAGAAATTTGGTATACTATTGAAATCAGATGACGTTACAATAATACGGTAACTTTGATCTGAGGTTTACGGGACAGTCTGCAAACAACCCAACGGCTCAACTACTTACTGTAGAATAATGTAAATTTGTGCTCGTAAGATTGGTCTCGACGAGTTGTTAGCTCACGGGTAGATTGTAAAGTTGTGACATTGATAATATGTAGTAAATGATTTTACTCTACCAATAGGTATAGCTTTCAAGTAGCTCTTGGTTATTAAGACTGTTGCACTGTGACCTTTAAGTCTGAACGCACCAGAACATAACTCTGCAATAGTCTATATCTAAAAATAGAGTTCTGTTCAAACAGGAAAGAATTGCCGCAATCAATATGGCAGACGGGGTGCAGTAAAACTTTTCGTACGATATTCATCACAAGGGGTCGTAGTTGTGGATCGCTTTGCGGATTTCCACAGGAGATATGAGGTGATTGGTAAGCTTTTGGTTGGAGGTCACCACATAATTTTTGTGAAAAATCTCACATCGTTTACATAATATATTTTTTAATAAAGATTTTTCACATATTACACATCTTGATGTGATTCTTGAATCATTCAAGCATTTCTTCGACCGAGTGTCGAGGGAGAGGTGGTTCCGCTGTTATGTGAACCAATAGTACATACAGTTGATCATAATCAGCATAATAATAAATAAATAATACCCTTATTATTTACCTAAACTTAATACATTCAGGTTACGTTACTTTGCAGAGATCCTTAACAAAAATGGTTGGAGAAATTAATATTCTGTTCCGCGAACACAGTGAAGGAATTTTTCGGGCAAGCGTCAAACGATCAGGTACTCCTGAGGACGCCTCGAGGCGAAACAAGTGTCGGGTACGCCGGGGTTTGTGGTTAGCTGTAGGGATGTACATGTTCATCTACCCCGGTAGCGTCTGTGTCATGGACAGCTAGCGCGTCTTAGTAGCGATCTAGGCGAGGGCCTAAGGCAAGAAGACGCGCGAGTCACGTAAGTTGCCCTTTGATTTAGAAGCTATGTTCGGATATTGTCACAGGAGACTAGCCCGGAGAGCTAGTAGAGGATGAGCTAAATATCCTCCGGGGCCTCCGGACACGTAGGTTTCTGCGAACAGGAGAGACGCTTCGGCGTTGGGATTTCGGGAGGTGAGCGTGCCTACAACTAAGTCAAAGTCAAAGTCAAAGATTATTTATTCCATAGGTAAAATAAATTTACACTTGAAAACGTCACATTTAAGCTACTGCTCGTTCACTACGCTGACCTCCCTGAGAAGAACGAGCAAGAAACTCTCTCTAGGGATTGCTCTTTTCAAATAAACTTAAATGCTATGGAATACACTTTGAATCAAATTTGTGTGGATTCTGGAGCCATGTCGTCTTTCCATACATCTTTATCTAACACGTAGTCTTCAATTTTGTAATATGATTTTTCGATCAAAATATTTATTTTTTTATATTATTATTATATATTTATTTAACTCCGTATATTATATTTATATATTTATTTAACTCCGTAAATTATATTTATATATTTATTTAACTCCGCCACCAATGAGGAAATTTGGTAGTGGACTTTCGAGTCAACGGCTTAGCGGTGGCATCCGTTAGTTGTGCAATGCGCTACGGGTAGTGAGCATGACAATAGCTCTGGTACCTATCTGGACAATAGGGAGGGCGCTATACGTGAACCCAGGGCAGCTCACCCAAGGCACTAGCGTTTTGAGAACCGGATGAAGTGCAAACGGGTTGATCTGGAGTTTGCACAGGTAATAGTGTCCTTCCCCATAACCAAGAGGTTGATCGGGAGGGTCACTATAAACAAAACTTACGTGGAAAGATATAGGACTGTAGTTGCGTTTGTGTTATTTATTTTAGTAAATTTATGCGGCGGGAGGGCGGGAAACGTTTAACCTTCACTAGGTTCGCAGAGTAACAAAGTGATTTACTCCCATTTTTATATTGTATATCATATCAGTAATGTTCACACATGCGTTGCTATAAAAAACAGCCAATTGTACGGAAGATAAGCACCTTTACGGCGTCTTATGGCTTTGCTACATTCGCTACGTTCAAGATTATAAATATCACCTGTTCGTGCTTATTTACGTTGCTTGGGTTAAAGTACAGTCTTTTATTTATAGCTGCAGCTTCATGTTTTATTACTTTGAACTAGGTTATAAGGCTAGCTTTACCAATTCTTGTTAGAACAAGTAAAAGTTTCCATAGTCAACCCATAATACGTCAGATCATGGTTCGTCACGCTAGTCCAATTCAGGTTGACGACTTCATACATCTTCCACGGTTTGTGAACCTTCTGTAACAGGTTTTCCTTTACCTTTAACAAGAGGTATTGTTACTATACTCGTAATATATATTCACACGTAACTTATATATCAAAGATATAGGTACTATCTTAGGGATTGTAATACGAGTGGCTCTCTCAAATTGTTAATAAACACGTGTATATTAAGTAAGACCTTTTATAACATGTGGTGGCGGCAATAAATAAATAAATGATTCAATCGTCGACCTCCCTATTGAGAAGCAACTTTTATCCTACTGGGCAATCACATCGCTCTTCAAAAGATGACTAGAAAAAGATTAAAAACATTAGAAAATGGTAAAGTAATATTTTTTAATTCGTCACACGGGCGCGCCGTTCTGATCAACTGAAAACTAGATCCATGTAAAACCTCTATTTCAAAAGAATGTACCTAATAGTAATGGCTACGAAGGTCTACAACAAACTTTCACGTGAAACTAGGAATTGCAATAATTGTGCAGAATTTAAGAAATTATTATTTAATTACCTGAACAATATGACATTCTACAATATTATATTCTATTGTTATTATGTTTTATTAGTATTAGGTTGCGTTAATTGGACTGCAAAATTATAGTATATTACAAGTTATTGCTTGAAAATTACATAAAAACTAAGAAACCTTTGTATGCCACAAGGCGGATCACGGGTGATTCAAAATTCATTCTTGTAACAAATTTATAACCTGTGTATCAAGAAATTAATGATTTATAAAGTTTGATTTTAATTATTACAAAGAAAAAAGAAACGTTATGACCAACGTCTACAAGATTGCCCCAGTTGCTATAGGTATTATTCGCGCAATATTGATGTAACGGTGGTGGCCTTGCAGTGGAACGATCAATTTGTTGAACCCAGTAGAAGTCGAGTGGTGTTAGAATGGTTCAGATTGTTTTGAGTGTACTAGCAACCTTTTGAAATATATGAGAAATCGTTACCTTCGTTTCTGGGAGAAATGAGGATATAATTTTTCCATGGCCATGTTTTCCCTGTATCTGAATTAATTAAACAGGGACAATGAGTTCTAGTGCGATTAAATTAAAACCGATAATCCATTGCACGACATTAGCGTATCCTTCATATTTTGCCCACATATGTGCAGAGGCGATGAATGTTTGAAAAAACCGTGTGTAGTTGGAAACATGGTAACATTTAGTAGCAGTAGAGCTCCTTGTGAAAGATTTCGTCCAGGGAAGAACTGCCACCTTACCTATTTATGCCGCCAAGAAGTAATGTGAGTATTGGGACACACATGGGACTTGTCAACTTATGTCTCAGGGTGGCAGGCGCATTGGCAATGTCACTCAAATCTTTGCGATTTAAAGCTCTGAGTGGCACTGCAACTATTATGGACAGGCGTGTAGCTGACTTGATATTATAAAAAAAACATGAAAAGAAAACCTCGTAGGTAGTCACCTACGAGGACCTTCACCAACAAGTTGCATCCATCAAGGGAAGGATTCATCGTCCACCAAATTTTTCGCGGTCGTAAGAGACGCCACGGACTGAAATTTACGGAGGCAGATCATTCATTCTGAAGTAGATACAAGATAGACATGAATCTGACCACGATCTTAAAACACGAGGGAACTACTACAGAGAAAGATCTAGATTAAGATTTGAAGTAGTTTCAAAAACAAGGACTGCGATAAGTTTTTTATTGACTATTAAGGTACTGGATTTTTTCAAACTACATGATTATTGATTATGAAAACTCATGAAAATTGATCGGTGAAATTAGGTTGTCGAACTTCTCCAAAATGAAACTATATTTTGCTTTGCTGTTATCGAGAAATGAATGATATGAAGAAAGACAGCGGTAGTGTAGTCTTGCCCATAATTGAAAAAATTTTTCATCTTCAATTTTTCAATGACGGTCTTTTTAGGTCATGTTCGTAATACAGGTCAACTATATGCAATATTTCATTAACGTCATCGGTTGAATTGTTAATCCGGAATCGCCGTTTCTAAAGCTGTGTTCACTCATAATCAGCTCACGACATTCAATTTATGATACGTACATTACATAGTGATAAATATTAGTGAACCAATAAATAAATAAAAACAAATGGTTGACGTAAGTCTTAATATCGATCCTGGACTTGAGATGGATTTATTACCGAGTACCGAAGGGTGCCGTAGGGCGCTCCTTGACCGAGAACATTCGCCTGTAATGTAACATTTAAGATTTGTTTGCGAGGATTACATTACAAACTACCTCTCTCACCGGCGAGCATTCGCCTGTAATGTAACATCCAAGATTTGAATAGGCTGCGATTCCACCAGAGATGTGCGAGGTAGCAAGCCGTGCGTGCGAGTGCCTCTGAGGGCCCGCGAGGCACCCAACTTAAGTAAAGACTTGAAAACATTTCCACTATATCTGGTGGAGTCGCAGCCTTACAATCTGAACAGATTGTTACATTACAGGCGAATGTTCTCGGTGGAGGAGGCTACCGAATGTTACAAGTGTTGAGCAACGAACGCTCGGCTCACCTCCCTCACCGCCTATAATGCTCGCTTTCGAACGTTACATTACAAGCGAATACTCGCGGCGAAGGCAGCCTAACTTTTTTTTTTCTTTCAGAAAGCTTTATAGATACCCCTGAGCCCAGGGAGATTCAGGGATTATGTGGGGATCTCCCTCCAGACTGGAGGGCCTACCCCACTAAAACCCCCCCGGGTTTCCCTCTCGCCGGTTGAGTCGGCGCCGTGAGATCGATGAACATTCAAGGCGGCCTAACCTAGCGTTTGACTGCTTCGTTTGTTACAAGATAATAGTGAAATGCTTGTACATAAATAATATATGTATATTTATAGTCTTTTGATGGTATATGACGAGCAGATAGATATAAATGTGTTTTGCTGTGAGCACGTTCAGGTCAAACTCAAACTATCTTTATTTCATAGGTAAGCAAATTACAAATCGTCATTTTGATTAAACTCTACTACTCATTTGTAAGGCAGATTCTCCCGAGAAGAATGATCAAGAAACTCCAGGGGTTGCTCTTTATAAATATACATTTGTACACGTTTAACATTTACAATATTTATTTCAAATCTTATAGATCGATTGAGGCCACTTGCAAGAGGTAAACAGGTACCTACTACGGATTTTTGTCATCCAAGCAATATAATAACGTTTTTGTTTCACTATAGTTTTAACCTCGTGAATGGCAAATTTTGAATATCAACCGGAATCTTATTATAGAAGCGTATACATTGCCCTCTAAATGAGACTTTGTGACGATGACCATCAAGAACGGCTAGTTTATTTTTATTTCTCGCATTAATGTTATATTTGTCACTATTTTACATTAAAAAAAATACCACTCTTAATATGAATTACATCTTCACCTCACTAGCCCGAAAAGGCTTTCTTTCTCATTAGAAATTTGCGCGCGAAAGCGTTTATTTCCACATAATGGCACGCGATTTGTTATACATTATTTATTCTTATTATTGTTGACATTAAATGGGCAACGATAACTAATTTTGTAAATTAAATAATTTTGTTATAGTTCAACTGTTTTTGCTCGCTAGTGAGGTGAAAAGTTGTGTGTTTCGCTCTTTCCG